AATTTTCTATCCTCAATTATCTGAGAAGTTGTGATACCTTTCAATGGCATTCTACTGACTATATATACACAGACACCTGATAGCTAAGTACAAGATCTGTACCTCCCACAAAGCCTTTCCTATGTTCTTCTCTTCAACAAGCATTCTCTGAAATAAAAATTCTCACACTTTAATCTTCATCTTACAATCTATCAGGTGATTGATGACATATTGCCTTGTACTCTGTCTCTAGTATACCTTGCCTCTTCATAAGAAATTCCTTAAATACAGTGACTACTTTTATGCTAATTATTTATTTATCCAAAAGCCTAAATATAAAGAGTGCTGGCCACTTAACATAGTAACTGATTTAAGGCATGCAGAAGTTAAGGCAAAGTGAAAACTGTTAATAGCTTTCAAACAAACTACAGACCTTCTTTGCCCATCTTCAAAACTTTGCAAACTGGTAGTTAGAATTTTTTTTTTTTTTTTAAGAATAATTATTTATTCTTGAGACAGAGTCTCACTCTGTTGCCTAGGCTGGAGTGCAATGGCACAATCTCGGCTCACTGTAACCTCCCCCTCCCGGGTTCAAGAGATTCTCCTACCTCAGCCTCCCAAGTAGCTGGAATTACAGGCACAAGGCACCATGCCTGGCTAATTTTTGTATTTTTAGTACAGACAGATGGAGTTTCACCACGTTGGCCAGGCTGGTTTCGAACTCCTGACCTCAAGTGATCTGCCCGCCTCGGCCTCCCAAAGTGCTAGGATTTACAGGCATTAAGCCATTGCGCCCAGCTGGTAGTTGGAACTTTAAAAATGCTTTCCACATTTAAAAAAAAAAAAGTTTTCCACAGAGGCAATGCTAAAAGTTTATTATGTTTTCAGGCTAGTCCACAAAATCCTAGTTAAAAATCCTTGGTGTACTAGAAATGTCATTAAAAAACACATCTTCTGGAACTTTACTATTAAAATTTTTTTTTTCCCCATTTCTTTTGAAACATGAATGGATGTTCTTTCCTAGGGCCAATGAATGAACTTTTTTCCCTTTGCCTATAACCGGCACAGAGAGTGCTACTACCTAGTTTAAGCTTCAGTAATCAGGGTAGAGGTTTAGCTGTTGGGATAAATATTTTAAAAGTTAGTATATCTGCATTTCCCTAGTCTCCTCGGTAGCTCCTATCTGTCATCTACTCCCAACTGTAAGTCATTTCCACGAATGAGTGGTAAAAGGGAAAATGCTATGCTAGTCCTTCCAAGTATGCAAAAAACAAGATTAGAAGTGGGGATTTTTCTTTTACTCAATTGGTAGCTGAAGGCTTGTGAGAACCAAATAAGAAATCAGGTGTGGCGCTTGGTGTTGTGCTAACTTCCTATTTACAATGTTGATGTTTGCATTTTGGGGAAAACAACTTTTTGGTTTAACTTTCTGGTTTACTGTTACCTTTGTAGATTAATGCTTTGCATATAAATTTATAATTACTGTCATCATTCTCTTTATCACTAAACTTAATTTGTACATGAGAATTTCACATGAAAACAAGTCTATCTGATTACGTTGCCCTAAAGTCTAAAATTAGAAGTTACTAAAAGGGCAATCACTAAGAAAAGTCTGTTCATCTGAAAGTATTAATCTATTTAAGAAAGACAAAAAATTAAAGATGTTCTTTTCCTGAAAAAGAAAACTACTAATTTTTTTTTTTTTTTTTTTGAGACAGGGTCTTGCTCTGTTGCCCAGGCTGGAGTGCAGTGGCACGATCTCAGCTCACTGCAACCTCTGCCTCCTCAGTTCAAGCGATTCTCCTGCCTCAGCCTCCCAAGTAGCTGGGACTACAGGCACATGCTACCACGCCCAGCTAATGTTTTATATTTTTAGTAGAGATGGGGTTTCACCGTGTTAGCCAAGATAGTCTCGATCTCCTGACCTTAGGTGATCCACCCACCTTGGCCTCCCAAAGTGCTGGGTTAACAGGCGTGAGCCACCACACCCAGCTAATTAAATTCTTCTATTACATTTACAGAAATTTCCATAATACAAAAACCTTAAAGAGGCTACTTTTTGGGAGAAAAAAAGCTCTTTTAAAATATCAAATCCTGCTGGAAGCAGTGGCTTATGTCTGTAATCCCAGCACTTTGGGAGGCTGAGGTGGGAGAAGCACTTGAGTCCATGAGTTGAGACCAGCCCAGGCAATACAGTGAGATCCCTATCTCTTCAAAAAAAAAAAAATTTTTTTTTTAGACACAGCTGGGTGTAGTGGTGTATGCCGGTAGTCCCAGCTATTCAGGAGGCTGAGGTGGGAGGACTGCTTGAACCCAGGAGGTGGCAGGATTGCTTGAACCCAGGAGGGCAAGGCTGCAGTGAGCTGTAATTATACCAACCACTGCACTCCAGCCTGGGCAAAAGAGCGAGACCCTGTCTCAGAAGCAAAGTAAACCAAAACATCAAATCCCCTCCCATACCCACTCACCACCAAACAGCCTATAGAGGAGAACTTTTGGAGGAACTCCTTTAGATCATTTACAAATGCTATTTATTCCTTATAATCACAAACTGCCTTACAATTTGCAAAGCACTTAAAAAAAATTTCAGTTGATTTGTCCAGGCACCCTATGATGGTACATGGGTCCATTATCACAATTTTACAAAAGAGAAAATGAGCCTGAGAGGTTAAATACCTTGCCTAAAACTTGAAAATGGTGCTGTCAGAACTGAAGGCAGGATTTCTCATGACTGATCTTGAATTCCTGCCACTATATTTTATTATGACCTGTATAGAACACATTATTCTAATAAGGAGTGGTGAATTAATTCAATTTAATTATCTTTGAGGCCAGATGCAGTGGCTCATGCCCGTATATCCAACACTTTGGGAGGGTGGGGAGGGCAGATCACTCGAAGCCTGGAGTTCGAGAGCAGCCTGACCAACTAGCAAAACCCCATCTCTACTACAAAATACAAAAAAGTAGCTGGGCATGGTGGTGCATGCCTGTAATCCCAATTACTTGGGAGGCTGAGGCACTGGGTTCAATCACTTGAACCGGGGAGGCGGAGGTTGCAGTAAGCTGAGATTGCCCTACTGCACTCATGCCTTAGAGACAGAGTGACACTGTCTTAAAAGTAAAATAAATAAATAAGGCCGGGCACAGCGGCTCATGCCTGTAATCTTAGCACTTTGGGAGGCGGAGGTAGGTGGATCACCTGAGGTAAGGAGTTTGAGACCAGCCTGGCCAAAACAGTGAAACCCCATCTCTACTAAAAACACAAAATTAGCCGGACATGGTGGCACATGCCTGTAATCCCAGCTAATCGGGAGGCTGAGGCAGGAGAATCACCCGAACCCGGGAGGTGGAGGCTGCAGTGAGCCAAGATTGCAACACAGCACTCCAGCCTGGGCAACAGAACAAGACTCTGTGTCAAAATAAATAAATAAATAAATAAAAATGTTCTGAATGTTCTGGCTGGGCATGGTGGCTCATGCCTGTAATCCCAACACTTTGGGAGGCAGAGGTGGGCAGATCACGTGAGGTCAGGAGTTCGAGACCAGCCTGGCCAACATGGTGAAACCCGTTGTCTACTAAAAACACAAAAATTAGCCAGGCGGGGTGACGGGCATCTGTAATCCCAGCTACTCGGGAGGCTGAGGCAGGAGAATCATTTGCACCCAGGAGGCAGAGGTTGCAGTGAGCCAAGACTGCACCAGTGCACTCCAGCCTGGGTGACAGAGCAAGACTCCATCTCAAAAAAATACAAAATAAAAAATTTTTAAAATAAAGGTATTATATTTGAAATGGCAGTCCTCAGCATAATGACAAATTACATACTATGCACACTCTGTATCGAATTTCACTTCTTTTAGTAATAACAGGAAAATCAA